AAAAAAAAAAAAAAAAGACTGAGAGTAAAATAATGGGAAATACAGAGAGAAAGCTGGAATAACTACACTAATATCAAACAAAGTCGAGAATTACCAGAGATAAAGTCATCTTATAATGATAAAAGATCCAACTAACCAGGAAAACAAAACAATTCTAAATCTGCATGCACCTAACATAGCCTCAATATATATAAAATTGACAAAACTTTGAGAAAAACAAAATCACAGTCACATTAGGAAATTTTAGCATAGTTCTCTCAATAACCAATAAACAAAAAGAATAAAAAATTAACAATTGACTGGATTTCTATATTTTTATACTAACAAACTAGAGTAAATAAAAATAGTGTGGTATTAGCACAAGGACAGTGACAGGCATACATTTATATTGCATATAAAACATATACCGAAATTGATCTTATGCTAAGCCATAAATTCTCAAACAATGTAGGACTATATTCTCTAAATTAAATAGAACTAGGAAGAATTAAGTTAATAATTAATAACAGAAATTATTGGGAAATCCCAATGTTAGGAAATTAATAAATACCCTACCAAATAACCAATGTTTCAGAGAAGAAATCACAATAAAAACTTATAATATTTTATACTGAATGATCTGAAAATGCTTTAATGAATGCCAAACTTCCAGAGCAAATTATAGCTTTAATGCAGAAGTTATAAAAGGCAAAAAACTCAATGATTTAAGTACCCATCCCAGTAAGTGAGGAGCAAAGTAAACCAAAAAAAAGCAAAATAAACCAAAAAAAAGTGAAAAAAGAAGTAATAAAGACAGTAATTAAACAGAAAAAAAGTAGAAGAGTCAACTAAGCAAAAAGAGTTTTCTTTGAAAACACTAAAAAATTGATAAACCATTGTCAAGACTGATAAAGGGGCAAAAAAAGAGAGAAAAGGACAACCAATATCAGAAATAAAAGGGTGGACACCTCACTAACTGTTTAGAAAATGACAAGAGAGTAAACACTATACCAACAATGAGCAAATCAAGAGAGAAATTTAAAAAACAATATGCAAAGCATCAAAAAGAATAAAATACTTAGGAATAAATTTAACAAAAGAAGTGCAAACCTTATACTCTGAAAACTACAAAACATTACTGAAATAAAGGAGACCTAAATAAATGGAAAGACATCTATATTCATAGATCAGAGGACTTAATTTTGTTAAAACTTCCCAAATTGATCTACAGATTCAACACAAGCCCTTTCAAAGTCTCAGCCAATTTATCTGTAAAAATTGAAAGCTAATTCTAAAATTCATAGAAAATGCAAAGGACTCAGTATTCTGTAGTAGACAAAACAATCTTGGGGGAAAAAAATGTTGGAGGACTTACACTAATCAAGACAGTATGGAACTGGCATAGAGATAGACATACAGATCAATGAAATAGAAACGTCCAGGAACAATCCCTCACAATTATGTTAACTGATTTTCAACAAGAGTGTCATGACAGTTCAGTGGGGAAAGAATAGTCCTTTCAACAAATGGTGCTGGGAAAACTGAATATCCACATGCCAAGGAATGAAGTTGACCCCTACCTCACACAATATACAAAAATGAATTCAAAACAGATCAAAGACCTAAACATAAGAACAAATACTGTAAAACTTTTAGAAGGAAATACAGATGTAAATCTTTGTGAACTTGTTTTAAGCAATGGTTTCTTAGGTATGATACCAAAAGATCTATCTTTTGTTGATATAACCAACAAAAGATAAAATAGATAAAATGAGCATCATCAAAATTAAAAAACTGTTATGCTTCAAAGATACCACCAAGAAAGTGAGGAGACAACCCAAAGAATGATAGAAAATTTTTGCAAATCACATATTTCATAAGGAACACATGTTTATAATATGCAACGTTATAACTCAATAATAAAAAGATAAGTAAACCAATTAAAAAACAGGTAAAGTAACTAATTGGATATACAGAAAAAGAAACCATACAAAAGGCAATAAGCACATGAAAAGAAATTCGACATCATTAGCCACCAGGGAAATGAAAATTAAAACCACAATTAGATACCACTTCACACCCACTAGGATGGCCACAATCAAAAAGACAGATAATAAAAAGTGTAGAAAGGATGTGGAGAAACTGGAACATTCCCAAACTGCTAGTGGGAATGTAAACTGGTGCAGCCACTGTGGAAAATTTGGCAATTCTTCAAAAAGTTACATACAGACCTAGCAATTCCACCCATAGCATACATGCAAAAGAAATGCAAACATATATTCACACAAAAACTTGTACATGAATGTCCAGAGCAGCATCATGTGTAATAGCCAAGACACAGAATTACCCAAATGTCCATCAACTGGGAAATGGATATTATTTGGCAAAAAAAAAAAAATGAAATTAAGTACTGATAAATGCTACAATGTGGATGAACCGAAAAAACATTATGGAACTGAAAAAAGGCCAGTCACAAAGGACCACATATTGTACTATCCCATTTGTGTGAAATGGAACCTGAATAGGCAAATTTATAGAAACAGGTAGAGAGTTGGGCTTGGGAGTAGGGGGGATTAGGTGAAAGATGATAGGTAAGAGGTGCAGAGTTCTTTTCAGGGGTAATAAAAATGTTTAAATTTGATTGTGGTGATGGACACACAACTCTGCATATACTAAAAGCCTTTCATCTGTATACCTTAAATGAGTGAATTTCATAGTATGTGAATTATCTCTTAACAAAGGAGCTGAACAAAAAATGTACTATTTATAATAATTTCAAAATCATCAAAACCAGAGAATAAATCTAAGAAAAGCCTTGTAAAACCTCAAAACAAAAATATATAAAATAATGAGAATTTTTTAAAAATATAAATAAAGGGATACACCCTAGTCCACGGATAAGAACTCAACATTGTAAAAATGTCAGTTCTCTCCAAACTGATATATATATTCAATGTAATTGTAATTAAATTTCCTAACAGGATATGTTAAAATTAAGAACTTCTGCTGACCAAGACACATTTGAAATAAAAAGGCAAATCACAGATTGGAAGAAGATCTTTACAACATATATATATCTAACAAAGGGTTCATACACAAAATAAGAAAAAATCATACATATCAAAAAGGAAAAAGATAATCATACCTTTCAAAAAGTGAAAAGGTTTGAACAGGCACCTTCACAAAAGGAATATCCAAATGGCCAAAAAAATATGAAAAGGTGCTTGACCTCATCAGTCAAGGAAATGTGAATTAAAACCACAATAAGACACCATTACACACCTTCCACAATGGTTAAAATTAGTAAGATTGGTAATATGAGTAGCAACTGAACACTCACACTTTGAAAAATAAGCATTAATAATCTTAATAATCTTAAACTTACATAGAAGAATATGCACTGAAAAGTAGAAGTCCTCAGGTTCTACCATGAATGTTAACATTTTCAAAAATGTCTTACCTCTTTTTGAACAAGGCTAAATTTTTCAAGTAGTTTACATTTTTCTTCAATTAGTATAGAAAGTTCTACAGCAAGTTTTTTCTCTCTTTCTGAAAAAAAAGTAAGGTCATGACCATTTGAAACTTTTAAAGTCTTAAAATTAGAAACAATGATGAGATCTATAATAGAAAAGAGAGCTTACCCACATAAAGCCAGCTTCTAATCTGAAACAAATTTTTAAGAAAAAAAACATTAAAACAAATATATTTTCAAGTATATCTGATTTAACTTCTACTGCGAACTTCAAAATAATGGGTTTCTTAATACCTTAGTATGAATACAAGTTAACGGAAAGTGTTCTGTTTCCAATGAGAAAAAGGTTATGTATTAAAGGGTCACTACTGAAGATTCACAATGTGTATTAGCATATGAAAGACTCTGAAATAACTCTATCTTAAAGATACCCCTTTCATTTCATTCAGCCCATTGTTCCTCAAAAATAACTCTAAAACAATTCCAAAAGCCCTGTTATCCTCTCCCCTAGAGCTAATATCCAAAGTAACACAGTTGAAGGAAACATTACCATTGGGCCTTGGATCTGAATTGAGTATAAAGAGCAAACAAACCATTTTCTTCTTTAACTTCTCTATCTCAAATAACGAAGGAAAATTACTTTATATGGAAATCAGGCTTAAGGCTGAGGTAATATAAGCAAGCAGAAAAAACAATGGGGACTTAAATCATCCACAGAAGATGTTTAGGGATAAATTAAAAGAGACAAAACTTAAAAGTCAAAGTACACTAGATGAGGAATAATAAGTGAATTGAAACATTGGATGAGGAACTATCTCAAAAGTTAACACCATACAAAATTTGGAAAAAAAAGTCAAAGCAGTACAGAAATCAGATTCAGAAGAGCCAACACCTGAAAACTAGTCCCAAAAAGAGGGGAAAACAATGCAAAATACAGAAGAAAATTCCCATTTAAAAAATGTTATATTAATTTTTTAAAAGAGTTTAAAGGATTTTAAAAAGATAAAAGAGCTCATGTTTAAAGATTTCAGAGAATTATAAAGAAGAAATAAGAAAACGAATATTCAAACCTAGACACACTATATCGAAAAAAGAATATTAAATCAAAAGATTCTAAAAGCTTCCACAGAAAACAGATTACTTGCAAATGAATAAGAATCAAATGGACAGAAAAGAACAAGGAGAAAAGGTGGCGGCATGAGAAGTGTGGAGGAAATCTCCTCCCAAAACGACATATATTTTGAAAATACAGCAAATACAGCTATTCCTAAAAGAGTGACTAAAAGTAAGAGTACACTAGCCAGTCTACATCTGAGAGAAGTCAACATGTCACAGACAAGGGTAAGATAAAAAGCTATGACCCGGCAGGACCCGAGCACTCCCCCAACCACAACTCTTTGGCAGGAGGAAAAGAATCAAAGTGGGGAGGGAGTGGAAGCACAGGACTGCTAAATAACCAGCCCTGGAAATCTACCCCGGGAGCATAGACCCACACTGCATGGTGCTCTGGAGATTAGAGGAGCTGAAAAGCAAAGTCTGAGACTAAGACTGCAAACAGGTTCCCAAAACCGGGTGCCCTGGGACAAAAGAAAAAAAGACGCTTTAAGGGACCTCTCAACAGTCAGAGGGCTACTAAAGGGGCAAGGGTTTAGGAAAAGGAACAGGTGGACAAAATTGTCCTGGCACACTCAGCCCAACAGGCAGGGAACTTGGGAACTTTAAGGAGCTTCCGGCGACCTATCACCATGGTTGGAAACGCAGCCTCGAGGCCCTTCATGGCAATAAGCAGCCTGCCGCTTCTTCCTCCCTGCTGGCACCAGTACGTGAACCTGCTGGCCCCACCATCGCTGCAGAACAGCCAGAGGGCAGCACTACATACAGCAGCTACACAGCTTAACGCAAAGGCTTCACCCTGTGTGCAGTTAACCAGCCCAGACAGCAGAGACAGGCAAGGCAACCAAGAAGCATGAAAGGGCTTTGCTGTCCCTGCAAACACCTGCACTGCTTGCCAGCAACCCCCGCCATCACCCTAGGCCATCCGGAGGGCCAGCCCACCCACAGAAGCACAGGGGATTAACCCAGACGCTGCTCCTTGCAAGCAGTTAATCAGCACAGACAGCAAAGACAGGCACAGCGACCAGAAAGCACAAAAGGGCTTTTCCATCCCTGCAAATATCCTCGCCACTTGCCTACAACCCCCGCCATCGACTAGGCCAGCAGGACGGCAGCCCCACCGACAGCAGCTAGGGTATTAACGCAGAGGCTACTCCCTGCATGTGGTTAATGGGCACAAACAGTGGAGACAGGCACAGTGACCAAGAAGCATGAAAGGGCTTTTCCATCCCTGCAAATATCCATGTTACTCGCCTGCAACTCCCACAATTGCCTAGGGCCAAGGGCCAGCCCGCCAATGGCAGCTTAGAGGATTAACCCAGAGTCCCCTTCCTGTGCGTGGTTAACCAGCACAGACAGCAGAGACAGGCAAGGTGACTGGCAGGCAAGAAGGGACTTTTGTCCTCCCAGCTGACACCTGTGCCATTTGCCCGCGACTCCCATCATTCAAGTACTACAAGTACTTGTGTACAAGTACTACAAGTACTTCTTTACTCCCTTAACTCACTGATTATGCTATTATAAACACCATCTGAGGATTCTTTTTTCTCTCCCTTCTTTTTCTTCCTCCTCCACTCTTTATATGGTAGGTGTCATATTCTGTACTCTTTGTGTATCCCTTCACTGATTTTGGGGGTAGCTGATTTCATTTTGCATTTGGTTAGTATTTAGTTGGTCTACTTCCTTTGCTGTGGTTATATTTTCTCTGGTGACAGCTATTTAGCCTTAGGCACACTTCCCTCTAGGGCAGTTACTTGAAAATACACTGTAGAGATGGTTTGTGGAAGGTAAATTCCCTCAAATTTTGCTTATCTGGGAATTGTTTAATCCCTCCTTCAAATTTAAATGATAGTATTGCTGGGTAGAGTACTTGTGTACTTGTAGTACATTCAAGTATTCAAGTACTTCTTTACTATCTAGATAGTAAGTAAAGATAGTAAAGAAGTAAAGAAGCTGCCTAGAACCTTTAGTAACCAAGAATCAAAAGCTGCCTAGAACCTTTAGTGACCAAGAATCAAACCTAACCAAGGAAATCAGTAAGTACATATCTATAGATAATCACCCTAAATGTAAATGGACTAAATTCACCAATCAAAAGACACAGAGTTACAGAATGGATAAAAAACCAAGACCCATGTATCTGCTGCCTACAAGAGACTCACTTGAATCCCAAAACATACACGCACTAAAAGTGAAGGGATAGAAAAAGATATTTCATGCAAACAATAGGGAGAAAAAGGCAGGTGTTACAGTACTTATATCAGACAAAATAGACTTCAAAACAAAGAAAGTAGCAAGAGACAAAGAAGGACATTCATAATGATAAATGGGTCAGTCCAACAAGAGGCTATAACCATTATAAATATCTATGCACCCAACACAGCAACACCTACATGTCTGAAACAAATACTTAAAAGAATTAAAGGGGGAAATAGAATGCAATGGATTCATTTTAGGAGACTTCAACACACCACTTAATCCAAAGAACAGATCAACCAGACTGAAAATAAGTAAGCAGACAGAGTCACTGAACAACACATTAGAAGAGATGGACCTAACAGACATCTACAGAACTCTACACCCAAAAGCAGCAGGATGCACATTCTTCTCAAGAGCACATGGAATAGTTTCCAGAATAGACTACATACTAGGCCACAAAAAGAGCCTCAGAATATTCAAAAAGATTGAAATTGTACCAACCAGCTTCTCAAACCACAAAGGTATGAAACTAGAAATAAATTGTACAAAAAAACTAAAAGGCTAACAACCCATGGAGGCTTAATGACATGCTCCCAAATAATCAATGAATCAATGACCAAATTAAAACAGAGATCAAGCAATACATGAAAACAAGAGCTCAATGCCACAACTTCTGTGGGACACAGCAAAAGCAGTTCTAAGACAAAAGTATATAGCAATCCAGGCCTATTTAAAGAAGGAAAAACAATCCCAAATGAACAGTCTAAAGTCACAATTATTGAAACTGGAAAAAGAACAAATATTGTCCAAAGTCAGTAGAAGGAGGAACATAATAAAGATCAAAGAAAAAAATAAAATTGAGAAGAATAAAGCAATAGAAAAAATTTTAATGAAACCAAGAGCTGGTTCTTTGACAAAATAAACAAAATAGATAAACCCTTACTAAGACATATCGAGAAAAAAAGAGAATCTACACACATAAACAGAATCAGATGTGAGAAAGGAAAAATCACTACAGATACCTCAGAAATACAAAGAATTATATGCTAACAAACTGGATAAACTAGAATAAATGGACAACTTTCTAGAAAAATACAGCCTTCCAAAACTGACCCAGGAAGAAACAGAAAATCCGAACAGACCAATTACCAGCAATAAAATTGAATCAGTAATCAAAAAACTACACAAGAACAAAACTCCCATACCAGATGGCTTCACCACTGAATTTTATCAGACATTTAGAGAAGACATAATACCCATTCTCCTTAAAGTTTTCCAAAAAAATAGAAGAGGAGGGAATACTTCCAAACTCATTCTATGAAACTAGCATCACATTACTATCAAAACCAGGCAAAGACACCACAAAAAAAGAAAACTACAGACCAATATCCCTGATGAATATACATGTAGAAATACTCAACATAATATTAGCAAACCAAATTCAAAAATACATCAAGAGGATCATACACCATGATCAAGTGGGATTCACCCCAGGGATGCAAGGATGGTACATTTGAAACTAAATCAACATCATCCACAATATCAATAAAAAGAAGGACACAAATCACATGACCATCTCCATAGATGCTGAAAAGGCATTTGACAAAATTCAACACCCATTCATGATAAAAACTCTCAACAAACTGGGTATAGAGGACAAGTACCTCAACATAATAAAGGCCATATGACAAACCCACAGAAAACATCATACTTAACAGAGAAAAGCTGAAAGCTTTTCCTTTAAGATCAGTAACAAGACAAGGATGCCCACTCTCCCCACTTTTATTCAACATAGTACTGGAGGTCCTAGCCACGGCAATCAGGCAACACAAAGAAATAAAAGGCATCCAGATTGGCAAGGAAGAAGTTAAACTGTCCCTGCTTGCAGATGACATTATACTGTACATAAAAAACCCTAAAGAATCCACTCCAAAACTACTAGAACTAATATCGAAATTCAGCAAAGTTGCAGGATACAAAATTAATACACAGAAATCTGTGGCATTCCTATACACTAACAATGAACGAGCAGAAAGAGAAATCAGGAAAACAATTACATTCACAATTGCATCAAAAAGAATAAAATACCTAAGAATAAACCTAACCAAGAAATGAAAGACCTATACCCTGAAAACTGCAAGACACTCTTAAGAGAAATTAAAGAGGACACTAATAAATGGTAATTCATCCCATGCTCTTGGGTAGGAAGTATTAATATTGTCAAAATGGCCATCCTGCCTAAAGCAATCTACAGATTCAATGCAATCTCTATCAAAATACCAACATCATTCTTCAACGAACTAGAACAAATAGTTCTAAAATTTATATGGAAACACCAAATACCCCAAATAGACAAAGCAATCCTGAGAAGGAAGAATAAAGCACGGGGGATTATGCTTCCAAACTTCAAGCTCTACTACAAAGCTACAGTAATCAAAACAATTTGGTACTGGCACAAGAACAGACCCATAGATCAAATGAACAGAATTTAGAGCCCATATATAAACACAAGCATATACGGTCAATTAATATACAATAAAGGAGCCAAGGATATACAATGGGGAAATGACAGCCTCTTCAACAACTGGTATTGGCAAAACTAGACAGCTACATGCAAGAGAATGAAACTGGATTACTGTTTAGCTCCATACACAAAAGGAAACTCAAAACGGATCAAAGACCTGAATGTAAGTCATGAAACCATAAAACTCTTAGAAGAAAACATAAGCAAAACTCTCTTAAATATAAACATGAGCAACTTTTTCATGAACATATCTCCTCAGGCAAGGGGAACAAAAGCAAAAATGAACAAGTGGAACTATATCAAACTAAAAAGCTTCCGTACAGCAAAGGATACCATCAGTAGAACAAAAAGGCATCCTACAATATGGGAGAATATATTCATATATGACATGTCCAATAATGGGTTAACATTCAAAATATATGAAGAGCTCCTGCAACTCAACAACCAAAGAACAAATAACCTGATTAAAAAATGGACAGAGGATATGAACAGACACTTCTCCAAAGAAGAAATTCAGATAGTCAACAGGCACATGAAAAGATGCTCCGCATCACTAATCATCAGAGAAATGCAAATTAAAATCACAATGAGATATCACCTCACACCAGTTAGGATGGCCACCATCCAAAAGACAAACAACAACATGCTGGGGAGGATGTGGAGAAAGGGGAACCCTCCTACATTGTTGGTGGGAGTGTAAATTAGCTCAACCATGGTTGAAAGCAGTATGGAGGTTTCTCAGAAAAGTAAAAATAGAAATACAGTTTGACCCAGGAATTCTACTCCTAGGAATTTACCCTAAGAACACAGGATCACAGATTCTAAAAGACATATGCACCCCTGTTTATCACAGCACTATTTACAATAGCCAAGATATGGAAGCAACCTAAGTGTCCATCAGTAGATGATTGGATAAAGAAGATGTGGTAAATATACACAATGGAATATTATTCAGCCATAAGAAGAAAACAAATCCTACCATTTGCAACAACATGGATGGAGCTAGAGGGTATTATGCTCAGTGAAATAAGCCAGGCAGAGAAAGACAAGTGCCAAATGATTTCACTCATCCGTGGAGTATAACAACATAGCAAAAACTGAAGGAACAAAACAGCAGCAGACTCACAGAACCCAAGAATGGATTAACAGTTACCAAAGGGAAAGGGACTGGGAAGGGTTGGTGGGAAGGGAGGGAGAATGGGAAAAAGTGGCGATACAATTAGCACACATAATGTGGGTGGGGCACAGGGAAGGCAGTATAACACAGAGAAGACAAGTAGTGGTTCTATAGCATCTTACTACGCTGATGAACAGTGACTGTAATGGGGTATGTGGTGGGGACTTGATAATAGGGGATATGTAGTAATCACATCATGTGATTGTATATCAATGATACCTTAATAAAAACAAATAAATAAATAAACACAGACCTAATGAACAAATTAATAAAGGCAGTGTTTCAGTATTAGTGTAAAATACTCCTACACAGAAATTCTTTAAAATGTTTACACTTAGGTATTTAAACCCATAAGCCTATAATGACAACCTAATTTGTTCCCTTAAAATAAGAGCTATGATTCTCATATTACTTGTTCAACCTGAAGGCAAAGTGAACTTTCCCTTAGTATACAGCACTGGTGACTTACCGATCGAAAACCTCTCCATGAAAACAAGAGAACAGCAAAAATCCCAAGGACAGCTGCACATATCACCAATTCCCATGGAAAACCATAGGGATTAGGACCTGGTCTCATATCTTCAGGCAATGCTGCCACAACCTTCAAGACAAAGAAAATTAACTTCTTAAAAACACACTTTTGATAAAAACTGCTGATTGCAAACTGCTATACATGAAATGTCTGTGTCCTCCCAAAATTTATTTGTTAAAACTTAATCCCCCGTATAATGGTGACTGGAAGTAAGGCTTCTGGAATGTGATTAGGTCATAGAGTACAGCCCTCCTGCATGGGATTTATACTGTCAAAGAAGTGGCCACAGAGAGCTCCCTTGACCCCTCCACCACATGAGGTTATAGTAAGACTATAAACCAGGAAGTGTGTCTCAGCAAACACAGGATCTGGGGCACTTTGATCTTGGTGCACAGCCTCCAGAACTACAAGAAAAGTTGTTTAAGCCACCGAGATAAGGCATTTCTGTTAACAGCAGCCTAAACACATTACAACACAAACATAAGTACAAGTTTATGTATAAACGCTATTAACACACTTTTCACAAAATGGGCTGGCAGACTACCAACAAACACAGGGTATCAGGGCACATTTCTCTGGCAACTTTCCAACACTATCACCAACTGATTAAGAACCACAATATAGTGAAATGCAATGATTTCCAAACTGGAGTTCTACAGAGGTGCCTCAGAGCTTCTGAGAATGAGAGAAGTGCAGAGAGGAGGTCAAAGAAAGAAGGTAAGCTTTTTGTGTACAGAGTATGCTGGGTTCCATGTAAGACTTCCCTATGTGGGGTGGGGGTAGTGGGTGGGGAGGAAAAGTGAAAACCACTAAAGGAGCTTTGGGTTTGGAATTTGTGTCCCTCTACCTCTGTGGCTCCTTCATCTTATCTGTAATGGTAATAATGCTGTTTGAACATGCAGGTCAGGCACTCAGTAAAGATAACTATTTCTATTATTCCACCTCAAAGACCACAATCCTATAACCATGGCCTTTCTACATTACTTTTCTCTCTAGCAGGTTTTCAGCACAAAACAGCTTAAGGCTTTTGCAGTTGCTTCTGTATTTCATCTTTCTCTGGGCTAGTTCAGTATCCATCCTGACTCAATAGTGTTATTTTTTTCTTTGTTACCAGGCCCCAAGTATTACTTGATCACATGGGAGGAAAAGAAAAATGTCCTTTTAAGAAAAATTTGAAGTCTGACCAGGTTTGGTTCTTTCCAGGTTCAACCCAGACCCTCTATGGCAAATCTTCCCTTTCTACCAAGAAGAAACACCATTTATTGTCTATTCTCCCCAAAATCTTTTGTATAATTCTGATTCACATACATACTCCTTCCAAACTGCCACCACAGTTCATTAATCTGTATTAAGTACACTTGCTTATACCTCTTGTAAAAAATACTGCCTTTACCCTGATCTCTACCTCTGTCTCCCCCTACATTACCTCGGTCACCAGTTCTCAGAAATATGACATCAATATAGCCAATCCATCATAAAATAGATATAGAGATATAAATATATTTCTGCCTCTGAGAAAAAGAGGCATTCAACACACAATACTGTGGAGAAAATAAGTTTCTTTACAGTTCATATATTCTCTAAGCATCTTACTTTCAACTCACCATTTCAAAACAAAATGCACACTGCTTTGAAAATCTAATCAATATGATTTCTTTACAACACTCCAACACTTTCAGGGACAACTCTAAAAGCATCACTCAGATAAAAAATGCAGCTATCTTTAGTATAATGATAATTCTTAAGTTCAATAGCATTTTATCAGCCCTTCTGTTCTGAAAGGAGATGGTAAATTCTAGGTTAAAGCCTTGAGCTGGTTGAATCTCGTAGACTGAAGAACAGAAAAGAATCTAGGACTCAAGAATTCATTTCAAATCAGTGCTCAAGTCTTAAATATTCTGGCTTCCTCACAGAGATTTTCCACCCTTAAATTTTTAACTGCATTATAGTATCCTATCTCACAAAAGTATAGAAAGAATAACCAAATCAAACATCAATAAATATGATTTAGACACAATTAGGTAAAGTGGTCCTAAAATTTAGAAGAGACAGGTAACCCTGCATAAAATAATAGTGATTAATCGCAAAACACGTAAGACCTATTTCACGCAAAAACATGAGTACTAAAGGAGTTACAGACCCAGTATTTTAAAAGAAACGATCAAATTGACAAAATGTGGTAGGGTAAAATTAAAATTGTTTTCCATCTAACCTCAAGTAAACAAGATATATATTAATAAAGACAACATAATAGAATGTCAACATACAAGCCTTGAGAATACTTGATTATAAGGCAAAGTTCCATGACAGCATACTTCTCCAAAATACAGAACTTAACAAAATAATTTCCCCTTTATATATTAGTCATGCTAAAAAATTGAGGGGTTTTTTTTCCCCTGTAATTAGTAGTAAACCACCAAAAGTTTAAAAGGAGGACTGACTGACTCATTATTCACAAGCAAGTTTGATGAAAACTGTTTTTAGTATACCTCTTAATTTTCTTAGGTCTCTTTTTATTTTACATAAATGTAAACTGGTAACCATAAAGTAAAAGTAATAACAATTATTATCCTTTAAAAGGGATTAGGAAAGCTTTAGAGTCAAATAGTCTAAAAAGAAGTAGGGCAGAATTAGAGTTCAGCCTCAGCAAGGTGAAACAGCATCTGCAAAATAATAATTACCTCAAGACAAGCTGTTAACATCCATCCACCCATTCACTTATTTCACATTTATTAACAAGCTAAATGCCAGATACTTTTACAAAACATACTCTCCTTTTAATCTCATCTATTTTCAAGGTTTTAATTACCACTATAATGATAATTCACAAATCTGTGACAACAACTCTTGAATTTTATAACACTGGTTTATTGGGACAAATCTATGTGCATGTCCTAGAGGGACCACTTTATAGTCAGACCATCTGTTACAGTCTATGTTTTATTGAAATCACAAACTTCTTCCAAAGGGTTATGGTATCACCCATAATGTGGGGAGGGAGGTGGTCATTCCCAAAGCCAATCATAGAGATAAAGGAAAAGCTAAGATAGGTGGAGTACTTGGAGAGACTGAGATACCAGCCACATGTGGAAAACAGGGATCCACATCCGGCCACTCTAGGGCAAAAGAAAGGACAGTCTGAGAGATTTCCTAACAACAAGAGGGCTTCTAAAGGGCAAGGGCTGCACAGAGCTTACTGCTCAGGAGAAAGAACAGGTGGACAAAATTGTCTGGGCACACTCTGCCCAGCAGATTGGGAGCTTCCAGGAGCTTCAGGCACTCCATCCCGCTGGCTACACAGCTCCGAAGCCAGCAACCGTGATACACACCCTACAGTGCCTTGCTTTTGGGGGGCACCAGCTCACAAATCAGCTGCCCCATCAGGGTGCCAGGCCAGCCAGAGGGAGGCCCTGCCTATGGCAGCTACAAGTGCGTAGCATAAAGGCTTCTCCCTGCTTGCTCAGCCCACAGGCCCTGGCAGGGGAGAACAGGCACTGTGGCTGCAAAGCAGGAAAGACATCTTTCCTCCTGACAGGCACCAGCACCGCTTGCCTGCGACCCCTGCCATTGCTCCAGAGGCTGAGGAGCTCAAGAGAGTAGAGCTTCTGGGCGCTAGAGGGCGCTACCTACAAATACCAAACGTCAGAGGAACCTGGTTCAAACCAAAATTCCATAAATACCAGAAAGACGGCCAAGTGAAACTGAACTCATCAGTCTTCCTGAAAGAGATTTCAAAATAAAAATCATAAACATGCTAACGAGGTACAGAAAAATATTCAAGAACTCAGGGAAGAATTCAGGAATGAGATTCAATCATTAAAGAATACAGTATCTGAAATGAAACATACAATGGAGGGATTTAAAAGCAGATTAGATGAAGTAGAGGAGATGATAAATGAAACAGAAATTAGAGAAGAGAAATACAAAGAAGCTGAGGCACAGAGAGAAAAAAGTATCTCTAGGAATGAAAGAATATTTAAAGAACTGTGTGACTAATCCAAATGGAACAATATTCGCATTATAGGGGTACCAGAAGAGGAAGAGAGAGAAAACGGTATAAAAAGTGTCTTTTAAGAAATAATTGCTGAAAACTTCCCCAATATAGGGAAGGAGATAGTCTCTCAGGCCATGGAGGTACACAGTTCTCCCAACACAAGGGACCCAAGAAAGACAACACCAAGACATATAGTAATTAAAATGGCAAAGATAAAGGATAAGCACAGAGTATTAAAAGCAGCCAGAGAGAGAAAAAGATCACATACAAAGGAAAACCTATCAGGCTATCAACAGACTTCTCAACAGAAACCTTACAGGTCAGAAGGGAGTGGCATGATATATTTAATGCAATGAAGCAGAAGGGCCTTGAACGAAGAATACTCTACCTGGAAAGATTATCATTTAAATTTGCAGGAGGGATTAAGCAATTTCCAGATAAGCAAAAGCTGAGAGAATTTATCTCCCATAAACCATCTCTACAGTGTATTTTGGAGGGACTGTTACAGATGAAAGTGTTCCTAAGGCTAAACAGCTGTCACCAGAGGAAATAAAATCACAGTAAAGAAAGTAGAACAATTAATTACTAAGCAGATGCAAAATCAAATAAACTAACCACAAAGTCAGTCAAGGGATACCCAAGCAGTATGGAATATGATACCTAATATATGAAGAATGTAGGAGGAAGAAGCAAAAAAAAGAACCTTTGGATTCTGTTTGTAATAGCATACTAAGTGAGTTAAATTGACTCTTAGACAGTAAGGAATGTACCCTTAAACCTTTGGTAAACATGAATCTAAAGCCTTCAATGACATTAAGTATATAACTATGGATAATACCCTAAATGTAAATAGTCTGAATGCACCAATCAAAAGAGAGAGAGTCACTAAATGCATGAAAAAACAAAACTCATCTATATGCTGTCTACAAGGTACTCACTTCAAACCCAAAACATACACTAAAAGTGAAGGGATGTAAAAAGATATTTCATGCAACTAATAGGGAGAAAAAAGCAAGTGATGCAGTACTTGTATCAGACAAAATAGACTTCAAAACAAAGAAAGTAACAAGAGACA